AAAAAAAAAGATTTATTTTTTTTAAAAGAGGCAAAAAAAAAGCAAAAAACAAGTAGAATTTTTTCTCTAAGGGTCATTCTGCCTTTTGCCAAAAATAATATTTGACAACAAACGTCTGCAAATCATTAAAAAGTATCGACAAAAAAGTTAGAAGTTGCTTACTTTCTCAATTTTCTACTACTTTTTGGTAGAAATTTTTTGATGTCCTTTTTTTGCTGCTGTTATCGCCGTTACTGCTATCTGCCATCATCCTGTCAACAATGTGCGGTGTATGAAGAATTGTTGACCATGTGAATTTCGATAACAATATTAAAAAAAAATAACAATTTGTTTGAATATCTCCTTTTTTTTTGTTGCTTTATTTGATCGGTAGAACTAGAGACATAAGGCAAAGAATATAGCAAATAGGCAAAAAATAAGGCAGTAATCCAATAAGTTTCTTTGACCAAAAACGAAACAGTAATTTTATTTGCCAAAAGCCAAAATCAGCAATACAACATCGGTAACGTCAGTAAGATATATATCTTTGCTGTATTTGCTGTCATATCAGCCCGTCTCCACCCTCCACCTCCTCAAACTACAGCGACAAACAAAATCAGGGAAACCTTTCGGAACAACAGACGACAATACCTTTAGCTGCTTTAAAAAGCTATTCTTTGCCAAGCGTCAAATGTCACTTTTCGGTCATATCAATGTATTTCTTCTACAACTCCATTTTTCTTTTTCACTAATCCTGTCTGTACAAGGATTTCAAACTGAACACACTCCTGCGAAGTGTGTTTCTAGGCGCTGGTTTTCCAGGCATCATCAAATTACGGCGCCGAAATACGATGATGATATTGCATGCTTTCAGTAGAATAATCATCGATGTTGACAATTGTTTGGTTATCAAACTTTATGTCTGAATGAAATCAGCCTAGTCTAGAAATAAAATAAGTTTATTCTAAAATTGATCGAGGCACAATGTTAAGTCATTATGATAAAATCAAATGGTTTTATGCAGTTTGTTCAATCATTATAATGTCGCCATTATTTGTCGCAGTAAATTGTTTATGCGAAGACTGAGACAACAAGTATAGCAAAAAAAAGAAAAAAAAAAAGCCGTTGAAAAATGTCAAAATTTTTTATAATTAAAAAAAAGACAATTGAAAGTATAAGAAAAAGTAGAAGAAACAAGAAAATAAGCTGAAAAAAAGAGAAGTTAGAAAAGAAACAAATAAAGCATAAATTTTAAAAATTTTCAAACTGCAGCACTGTTTTTCTCCTCTGTAAAAGCACATTTATGAGAAAGCAATTAAGAAGCATCTTCTTTTTTCTCAATAAATACCCATCCGTCATTCATATTACAGTATTGATATTCGTTCATACACTTTTCACTAATCCATCTGAAAACTTGTCGGTAATATATGTCAAAGGAAAGCATGAATTCTGTGGTGACGAGATGAACAATGTTGCAAATATTTTCAGCTTAATTGAAGAAGTTGGCTATTGATTGACGCATCTCCACTGCAATTATCTAATCACCTTTACCAGTTTAGCAGTCAGTTTCGTGCAATGTTCGACAAAAATTATAATCCTCTCAAACTGATACTGCACTTACTTTATCAGAGTCTTCTTCAGACACAATAACCTAATAAATAAATAAAGTTTGGCATAAAGCAAAGATTTTTTCACCCATTCCTTTAAAAATATACCTAGGTGTTGCAGCCTGTCAGCTCGTTTTTATAGACTTCTAATAGCAGACAAATAGTCACCAGCGATTGATAATTGATAAATGAAATAGCGTTTGCCTGG